AATAATAATTAAAAAAGCTATTATTATTAATAAAATTCTTTTATAAAAAATATATAATAAAAATTTTTATATTAAATAAATATTAATATTTAATAACTTGATTAAATTAAATTTTTTTTTAAAAAAATTATTAATATTTATATAAAATATAAATCTTTTTGTATTAATTTATATAAATAATATAAAAATTATATATATATTTATTAAAATCAAAATAATATTATATTAAAATTTGAAATAAATTATTATATGTAATTAAAATTTTTTAATATATAAGTCTTTGTTTAAATAATATATCTTTTAATTATAAATTAAATTAATTATAATAATAATTAAAAATAAAATATTAAAAACTAAATTTATTAATAAAATATAATAAAGATCAAATTTTTTCTCTCTATATTAAAATTTATAATTTTATTAAGAAATAAATTTTATTTTTATATCAAAATAAAATTTATTAATAATAGTTTAATATATATTATTTTCAGATTTTTTAGATTTTTTCTGAAAAATTTATTTTAATTATAAATTTACTACAAAAATTTTTATTAACTATATTTTATTTTTAATTAGTAAAAATTTTTATATTAATATTATAATTAAAATAATACTTATAAAAAAAATTTAAAATTCTGAAAAAAATATATATTAAACTTTAACTAATAAACTTTATTTTGATATAAAAATAAAAAGTATTTCTTAATAAAATTATAAATTTTAATATAGAGAGAAAAATTTGATTTTCATTATATTCTATGAATAAATTTAGTTCTTAATATATTATTTTTGATTATTATTATAAACTATTTTTATTTATATTTTAAAATAAAAATAAAATATAATATTTTTATAATAATTATTTTTGATATAAAATTTATTTAAAATTATATTAATATTTCTTTAAAAAATTTAATAATATTTAATAATTTAATATAAATAAATATATTTATTATTAATATACTAATTATTTAATTATTAATTATAAATTATAATATATTAATAAAATTATATTTTAAATAAATATTTTAATAATAAATATTTTATAATAATTTATAATAAATTATTATTATAATTATATCTTTTATAATTATTTTTATATAATTATATTCTTTATAATTAAATATAAATTGATATTATTAATGTATTATATTTATTAATTTTATTAAATTTTACAATTTAATAATTTTTAATTTTGCATTACATTATTTTTGATTGTCATTGTATAATAAAAAATTATAATACTAATCAAATTTATATATTTTATTATATATAAAAATTTTTAATTTTTTAATAAAAAATTTATTTTTAATTTAAAATTCTTAATTAATATAATTAATAAAAATTTAATTTATTTTATATTTATTTAGAATAATATTTTTAAAAAAAATTTGAAAATTTTCTAATTTTATTTTGAGTTAAAAATAAAAATTATTTATTAATAAAATTAAAATCTTTTATAAATAATAATTTTATAATTATAATATTAAAAGATAATTTTATTAATATAATTAATCTTCTAATATCATAATTATAAAAGTTACTATATAATAAAAAATATATATTTACTAGTAAAAATTCAAGAATTATATTATTTTTTATTATTAAATGATAATATAGTTAAATTTAATAATTAAGTTTAATTTAAAAAGTAAAAATATATATATTACAGATATTCTTTATCAAGATTTAAATAAAAAGTTTTATGAATTATATTTTTAATATAATTTTCTTAAGTTATTTTTTGAGTCTGTAGTTAAATTTTTAATTATTCTATAATAATATCATATTTTAATAAACTTGATTTAACAGAATTGTATTAGAACTTAATATAGTTATGAAAATAAACTCAACTAATTTGTATAAATTCAACTTTATAATTCAAGCAAATTTTATTTAAACTTCATTCAAATATATTATTCAAGTCTTTTTTTCATATATCTAAAAGAATTTCTTAAACTATTCAATCTATACTCTTTTATTATTATATTATACTTTGTTGACAAGAAGAAGTAAATATAAAATATTAATGAGTTAAGCTTGGAGTTAAGGTTATATTACATGTAAAGTTTAACTATAAAATTTCACAAGAAATATTTTTTATTAGAATATAGATTTTTTGATTTGATTAAATTAATATAATAATAATTTAAATAAGTTTTAAAGATTATTGAACATAGAATTTCTCAAGGAAAAATATATTATTATGACAAATTAATAAGTAAGTTTTCACTTGAATTCATATTAACAATATAAGATTAGGAGAGACTGAAATAATTAAAGAGTAAAAAAAGAAGAATTAGACTATTGCTTTCAATATGATAAAGATTTCTAAAGTTTGTGTCAATATCTATAAATATTATCTTTTAAAGAGTAAAATAAATAATAAAGAAATAAATAAATTAAAGAAATTATAAAGATTGGCTAAGTGAAGCTATTAGTAATTAATATAATTCAAGATTTGTAATAATTAAATAGTAAAACTACTATTAATCAAAGAAAACTATAATTAAAAAAAGATAAAAATTAAAGTATAAAAACTAAGTAACCAAACAAAAATAAAAGAGTATAACTTATTTATAGTAGAGATCTTTTACTCTTAAAAATAAATTAAATAAAAAAATATAACTTATTTATAATAAAGATCTTCTACTGTTATAATAAATTGATAAGTAAGTTATCACTTGAATTTATCTTAAAAATATTAGATTGGGAGAAACTGAAATAATTAAAAAGTAATGAGAGAGGAATTAGACTATAACTTTCAATAATGACAAAGATTCTAAGATCTGTGTCAATATCTATAGATATTATCTCAATAAAGGATAATTAAATAAAAGAAGTAAAATATAAATCAAAGAAATTATAAAGATTGATTAGTAAAACTACTAATAATCAATATAATTCAAGACTTAAAATTAATTAAATAGTGAAATTACTATTAATTAAAGAAGATATTACTAAAGGAAAAAGGGTAAAGAAAACTAAAATATTAAAATTAAATAATTAATAAGAAGTATGACTTATTTATAATAAAGATCTTCTACTTTCAAAACAAAAAATAAATAAATAAATAAAATAAAAAGAATATCAAGAATATAGCTTATTTATAATAGAGGTCATCTACTCTCAAAATTAAAATCAAAATAATATTATAATCCAAAATCAACTTTATATAATCAAAGAAATAAAATCAAGTACAAGATAGAATACTAGTATAATCAAATTATATTTTTCAAATAATTCAAACAAAACTATAAAAGGGTACTAATATAATTTATACTTTCCAAACAAATCTTGACAAAACTATTTATTTTAGCTGGAATAGCAGATCCTTTTATACTTTTTTGAATATAAAAATTATTATAGTATTACTAGTTAATACTATATAATATACATCTTATAATTTAAAGTATTATAATATAAATTTTAGAAATGTATACATACTCTACTATATACATGAGTATTGTATTACAAGTAATATAAAAATGTAGATCCCAAATATAAATAAAATATAATATCTAAATATAGAAGTATATAATAAATATAGTAATAAGAAATAATTATATGACATAAAAATAAGAATAATTATGAAATAAATGAAAAAAATATGATTTTGCATAATCACAGAAAGATTAAGAAATTAAGAATCTTTATGCTACTATGGTAACACTACTCTCAAAATAATATCAAATAAATCAAAAGTTAATATAATATTATAATCCAAAATCAAATTCAACTTTATATGATCAAAGAAATAAAACTGAATAAAAGAAAGAGTACTAATATAATTAGAAAAAGTAATCTTTTAAAATTATATTTTCTAAATAATTCAATCAAACTGTTTATTTTATGCTAGGAGAGCAGATTCTTTTATATATTTTTTAGATATAAAAATTTTTATAGTATTACTAGCTAATACTATCTAAATATATGATATAATTTAAAGTACTATAATATAAATAATTAGAAATATATTACATCAAAGTATGTTAAAAAATATTAAAGAATATTAAAGAATGTCAGAGTATGTAAAAGAATATTAAAAGATATAGAAAGATATTAAAAGATGTGAAAAGATATTAAAAGATATGGAAAGATGTTGAAAGACATGAAAAAACATAAAAAAATATCAAAGAATAAGAAAAGATATTTGTGATCATTATCCAAGTGTAACTATTTTACCAAAATTAAAAATAATCTTTCATTATACTATTCCATTATATACATGAATATCATATTACAAGTAATAATAAAAATATAGATCTTAAATATAAATAAAATATAATGTTTAAAAATAGAAATATGATAATAAATATAGTAATATATGATATGAAAATAAGAGATATTTATAAAATAAATGAAAATAATAAAAATATGTGAATTTACATAACCAATGAAAGATTAAGGAATTAAGAAATTTTATGTCACTTTGATAATGATATCATACATATATTCATACATATATTCATACATGTAGTATGCATTTTTGTGAAACCTTAATCAAACTCTTACTCTAATATCAATGCTAAATAAACAACTTAATCGCTATTGCTATACAATACCAATAATATAAAGCTTTCTTTTTACTAGGGCATTTTCCATTCTACAGAAATGCTATCTATTATTATCATGTATCATAATTTGCTGCATAAATCCCCTTAGCAGACCTGGGGTTGTGCTATAGAGTTGGTAAGGAACATAAAGTACGAGATCCGAACCTATGGCATGATTAAATATAATCTACCAATTTATTTATTCTTTAAAGTCCTTATGGCTGAGAAAATACACATACTCTGTCACCATGAAGAGATGTTGTCATGTGTTATATAGTAATATGATATGGGTTGCAAATTTTACATATGACTACAAGACCCTTCATGTACAAGTCCCACGATTATAGTATACCCTTCCCCGTACACTAGACTCCCAAGGTGATTTATGCGGCAAATAAGTGATGTAATGGATCAATCCTTAATGTTAACATACAAAATTTAAAGCTAATTAGGTAAATAATTTAGCATAAAGTTATAACCGTATCCATATTTTAATATTCTGAAGAGTTTTGCATTGATGTAATAAAATGAATTACTCGAGATATCGAAATGTATGAGATCAGTTTCTGCTGATTCTTGCGTTAAGAGTTCTTCATCGAAATGTATGAGATCAGTTTCTGCTGATTCTTGCATTAAGAGTCCTTCATCGAAATATACGAGATCAGTTTCTGCTGACTTAAATGTTGATAGAACAGGTTCTTGCCGTATATTTATTGAAGGAATTTTATCCGTTAATAGAAAAGATTTCGAGAAACTTTGTTGTGTAGAAGAGCTTTGTTCTGTGTTATCGTTACTTGTATTTATTAACTCACAATTTTGATTAGAGGATGAGCTTTTCTTGGAGGATAAACGTGCGATATCAGCGTAATCATAATTGCGCCATTTTAGCTCCTTTTTAGATTCCTTTTTTAATGAAGATGATGCGTCCGCATATTTTGGCATGTTTCTGCTGATTTCGTTAGCCTTTTGTTCATAATCTCGTTTGAGCGCATGAGATTCAGTTTCCCATTTTTTTGATGCCATTTTCGCAATTACTTTTGCAGGACGATGAATATTTTTTTCAGCTAGGGCTCGGGCAAAAGCATGTTTGTATAAATTAAAGCAGTTTGGCGATATTTTTGGCTTTGCTATCCTGGCGATCTCATTCGATTGGTTGAATATTTTCAAGGTATTGTCAACATTTCTGTCATTTGAAGAATATGGAGAGGGCACTACAATTTCTTGAAGTATTATCGTGTCAAATTCGGGGTTATAATTCTTGGATTTGGGCATCTTGTTATTCGAACGTTGAAAGAATTAAAAAGTTTATTTATTGAAATCGAACCAGAAATTCATGTACGAATCGTTTCTATCTTCTATATATTTCTTTTTTCAAAATGCTGTTCATCTCTTAAATTATACGAATATATTGATATATCGATATGCTTGACATCCCCGCATATACATGACAATACTAATACCATTTATGTATTACGAACACTAAAAAGATGCTTTTTTTGATTTCCTGCATAAAACCTTTTGCATAAATTTTCAACACAATTAAGAAAATTTTATAAACAATCGCGTAAAAAGCTCAGAGGAGGCGCCAACTTCAACGTATCGAACTTTGTTATATTTATACTGTATTTGTATAACGTGAAAAGTTTAAAAATAACAATTTATCGCATTATCATTAATAAGTAATGCACAAAGCTTATTCGTAAGTACACTATTTATTACCAAAACATGAATTCACCGCAAGCGCGCATTCAAAGAAAAAGGATTCATAACAAAGTCCACCACAATCTCAAACGAAATCAGCAGCAACGAATGCAGGATATTCTTATCATTATTGTTGAATAATCAAGTCCCACCACAATCTCAAACAAAACCAGCAGCAACGGCATATTTCCTATCATTATCGTTGACTAATCAGTTTCGTCTTTTACGCGTAAATGCAATTTATGAGCAAGTAGTGGTGCAACAAATACCCTGCGTCATAACACTTTTTAGCATAAATAACTTTTTAGAAGTAAAGTTACCGTATTTGATTCAACATTAAAGAATTTAATATAAAATATCTTTTATTTTTCCACTGCAGCAACGTGATACGTGGGTACGTGGTACTCCAATGTAGCTGTTACAATCGATATAGTTATAACGAACAACTAATTTATAGCGGATTGAGGCCCAGAACAGTCTATGATAAATCCGTCAATAGACCGTTGATATAACGGTTTTTTCACTAATGAACCGATCTATCCGTTATCTCGACTTTGACTATGTGTATTACTTTGGTATCATTTTTTGGATGATAATTAACTTTGCCCATAATAAATAAGATCCAAAGAAACAATTTTTGCTAGTATTTTAAATTCAACAACATATCAAAAATAACGAGCAGAAAAATTTAGTTGCGGTAATAAATGCGAATTGCAGCAACGCTGGATATTATATTATCGTTGTAAATTGCTAAAGAAGAATAGATACCGATACCGATACATGTACATGTACATGTCAAAAGCACATGTATCTGGCAGCGTTTTATCGATTCTTCCCATTTTGCATAAAAAATTTATAGATTAGAATCAATGAAACCTGCTTTTATAGATATGTACATTGAAATTCCGCCCAGTTTGATATGTAATAGTCCCTTTCTGTACCAATAGTTATTCAAAATTGGAAGTTGGTAAGATGTAAATAAATGCACACGCACATGTATTCGAGATGATTGTGCAAGAACTTAAATGTACATGCACCGAATATACATGTAATTGGTTAAATTTCATGCAACACATCAAGAAAACATATAGCTAATTTGGGTTAAAGTCTCAAATGACCCGCTAAAATGGAACAAAAAAAAATTGAAATTCGTACGAGAACATACATATCATATAATGTAACAATCAAGAACATTCATGGGCGTTGTTTCGGAAAATCGTAGCCTTTAAAACTAGCATACATGGTTTCAAAACAACGCCTCGAAAGAACATGCACCTCGTATAACGTATCGTCAGATATTAATATACGATCACTAACCATTCAATTTTAAAATTGATAAATTTTTTTGTTTAAATGATACTTTGGACACGGTGGACCGGTTGAGTTTAAGGTTTAACTTCTGTGTTTGAAACTCGTCGGCAATATCCTGCTGCTTAACGGACAGATACTCTTGATGGCAACAGCAGATTTCTTATAACCTATCCTTATCGTTATCGTTATTTAAATCTGATCCAAAATACTATATATTACGAGACATTAACGCCAGTGGTGCCCTTTTTATTCATTTAAGAACTGTTAAGACTATTTGATTGTCTTTCCGTAGTGTCTTTCATCGCACCTTTTTTGGGTTTTTTCTATTTTATAGGTGGCGTAATCGGCAAATAGTTGTTTTTCACTTCTTCATTCAATGTATACACATTAACTCAGTCTAATTTTTTCAAATGATAATAATGAAAAGACATACTACCAGGTTTTTCAAAAAATTTCCACAAACTCAATAGGAATATGCTATATTATATACGGATGATCCAGGACAACCTGAAGATAGCTTATTGCTTATTAGTTTAGTGGAATGAAGCTTGCGTTGTGACATTATATGAACGCCACTATAATTAACGGTATGTTGAGATAATTAAACCATTATTTCTTTTATACTTTATTTTTTTTGGAGCGGCAATTCAAGGGTCGGATCTTCCCAGCTAACATTTCTGACTCGGTTTTTTGCATTGCAAATTCTACCAATATGAATAACAATAAATCGCTCAGGATGCAATTGGAAGTTTTAAATAAACTTATGTTCCAATTTTGTATTCATCATAGTATTAGGAAAAGCTATATCCATCTCAGTATTCCCCACCGCATTAGTCGCCATAACCATATCCGAAGTATTCGCAATGTGAATTACGCCATATCGAGTGTTATAAAGGTTCCTTGCTTCTTGAGCTACTAGCTTATATTCATTTTTCACTAACGTTATCTCATTAGTCCATAAAACTCTAATAATACTTGAAGCTTTTGGCATAGGAATAAAAATTCCATTGAATCCCATTGTTCAGATACTTGATTTTCGATAAATAAAAATTCGTTGGGAGTACTTTTTGGAACATTGCTTTTACGTGTAGTGTTAGGAACAAGTTTGCTGACAGAAATAGTTGTGGGAATGTTGGTCTGATTAATTCTGTTAATGTCAATATTAATATTTGAATCATATTGATAGACATGTTGAGAAGTTCAGTTTATTATCTTGATGAGGAAGCTTCTGAACAGAAACTGTGCGCTATTTACATGAAAGAAAATTGCAAAGGTGAAATCTTCAAATTGAAAAAGAACAAGGCCGTATTGCATTATTACATTATGTTGCATTGCGTATTATCATCATAGCTATAAAAATCAATTAATAGTTTATGAATTTGGCTAATTGGCATAGAGAAAAGTCAAGAAAGACAAGACAAGTAAGAGAGTAATACTAATAATAGGAAGATTTGGCGTGCGAACTATTTTCGCGGCCACCGGTATGCATTTATTTTAATTTGAATCTTCCCGGTCATTGTACTATCGATTATTAATATGCATTTATAAATGGATCGTTGAAGTATGGTTCTATCACGCGATGATCTAACGAAGCGTATGAGGTCAATGCTTTCCTTATACGTTCAGAATTTTGATTTAAAGAAGTGCTGGGAAACCTAAGAGTAAAACTCCAAGAAGTTTCAAGCTAAACTATATATTGTTTGTTTTCGACTGTATTAATGATACATTATGCGTAATTTTAAGTTTTGGTCAATCTAGACCGGAGGGTTGGTAAACAATAATTCAAGAACCAAATCCATGATTAAAGCAAAGTTAATCTACTGAGCTAATAGAGGACAAGTGCTTTTTCGATAAATCAAACTTATAAACTAACCTAATCATATTGGATCAATTAAAGGAGTCTACAAAAAGGTGATTATAGAAAGGTCTATATTTATAAAGAGATATTTATGACAGCTGTTCTTTGAAAAAGGTATTATTATAATGGGTTTTAATATGATGTGACATAGAAGGGTTTACCAATAAGAATGCACAAATCGTATGTGTGCTTAAGCTATTACCCATCCGATATTTTTGGTAGACGAGTCAGTATCCCATATCTTACGCATTTTTGCATTTTTTGTTTTCTAGTTTTGCTGGCCGAACGCAAATCGCATATACAAACTGCATGTAGTCGAGCATAAGATTTTTCTGAAAATTTTCGTTATGATAATGAAAGTTTATTATATGTATGTTAGTTTATATAATCATTATTATTTCGCATATTAATACATAAAAAATTAAAAATAAAATCATAATCTTATAGTGCTTATAACAAAATTTTGGCAAAATCTTTGTAAAGAGCTTATACAGTATATTATAATAATAATCAAATACAAATATATATGATTATAATTCTATTTCGGAATAAAATGGAATTTTTCAAATCAAAAGGTTTTTTTTAAAGATTCCCAGCTGCATGAATTTTGTGGATATATTTACCATGTGATAGATATTTTGAAAAATGTGGTTTTTTCAAACAATAAAGTAATCATATCGATATGCATGCACATTATTATCCGCAATGTGCATGTGCACGTTGTATGTACACGTTGTATGTACACGCTACATGTATTTTGCCAAGATACGAGCGCAAGCGCCTTCTTTTCTAGATGTTTGGTTATACCGAAAGAAAATGAATCTCGCTCTTTTCAAATAATTATGATCAAGGATTAAAAATTGCGTTTCTATAACGTACACTAAAAAAATAATTAACATAAAGTATACTTACTAAGTTTCTTCTCGTCAATAGTTATTACGCTCCAAGATGGACTTGAAAGCCATCAACAAAACATGCTTGTTGGCTTGAAGATCTTCACTTCCCGGAACCAAATAATGATGTAATAAATTCTTGTATAGTTTTTCTGATAAGAGTTCCGAATAAGGCATTACTTTATTATAAAAGTCAACAGAAATTATGTGGAAGAAACGGATCAATGGTAAACATTGTTTAAGCGCAAATTTTAATTTTCTAAATTCATTTTGTGTCCATTTTTCCACAGGGCTCGTAAAATCAACACTCTCAGAATCGAAAGGTTGAGCAGTTCCACATTCAAGAACCTTCTCCAAAATTTCAATTTCTTGAATATTTAAATCATCTCGTTTGAGCAAGGAAACTAACGCGTTTTCTTGAAGTTTTGCAAAATCACTCGACTGAAAAATAGCGGCAGAATTTTGACATGTAATATCTGTGCAAAATTTGTGGAGTTTCGTAAAAGAGT